TCACTGAAAGCTAAGCTCACAGAATTCTCTTTAATTCTCTTTAAACGCTATTACTAATAACCTTTCGTCAAAGATCAACGTAATAAACCTTCCTTTAAAAAACAACAGAAATAATAATAAAACAGAAAAGAACTGAGATTGAATAATCCACAGCCGGTAAATAAGAAACGCCCAGCAAGGCAGGAAATAAACACGTATCACTGGCCACCTCTGTTAAATATGGAGTTCTCAGTTTTAGTCTTCTTTTTAACAAGCGTAAAGTATAGAACTGGAGTAGAGAAATGGCCAAAAGATTCGCTATTTGATGTCAAATCTCCCCCTCACCGCAGATTCACTGATAGGTGCAGTGTGTTTCCTCGCAGCCAGACAGGGTTTTAACTCCTTGAAATCTCGCTAATATTCTTAGGTACATAATTAAAAGTAAACTTTTAGCAGGTTTATGTAATAATGTGGAACAACAACCTTACCATTGAGATACGAAATTCGCAAACGCTGGTGAGAATTTATCCTCGGGTAAACATGGCGGATTCTTGAAAAAAATAGACAAGCGAACAATCAAACCCTGCCTTGTTTAGGGCTAGGACAAACAGTACACGTCTCCCATACAAACCTGTAAAATTCTCATAGCTACTTCTTGGCTCTTTATAACGACACGACTTTTAAACTTGGTCATTTCACAACGTTCAAGGTGATCTTTTCTGAGGTGTCATTGGATTTTCATTACCTGTTCTACATTAAAATCTTAAAATATCGTGGCAAAGGTCTTTATTAATTAGTAGTACGTGAATCTTAAAAGATCAAGTTACTACGATTTGCTTACCTCATGTACGATGCACTGAAGTAGCGCTATGGGCTAACAAAGGAAAGCAAAATTTTCATGGTTAATCTTTATGTTCGGCACAGGATCTACGTCGCCACGACGACCTTTTCTGCTTGACGTACAGTTGCTTTCAAATTCAAAATTATAGTGTTCTAAGGTATTCAAACACCAAACAATTAAGTTAAACCGAAGCTGAAGAAAGATTGTAGTGCGACAGACCATAGGTTCAGAAGACTGTTTAAGTAGGGCAGACGTAAAACAAAACAAAAAACTACGTATGAGGGATAGCTCCTTTACATACGGACGACGAAATGAGCAAAAAATCTAGTTGTTTCCAGAACATACAGGGAAAATGAAATGTCTTAACGATGCCAACAGCCATAATGAACCATTGCAAAAATGAAACAGCTTATGGCAACCTATAAGACCATCCTTAAAAACTAACTGATTCTACTAACAATATTGTTCAGAATTTAATTACCAGAAACGTTTCAGCACCTCCATGACTTTCCTGTAAAATAACATGGGTATTTCAGTACATTATTAACAAAGCTATCCACCCCTTTTAACTTACCAATGATTTCTGACGGTGACGAAAGGACAATAATATCACAAGTGGCACATTTGTGCTCGCCTATCGGACGGGACCCTCCCTGAGGTCGCTCTAGACGCACCGAGTATATAATGGAGAGTTTATTTGACTAAGAAGGATAGGACGGGAATGACAACGGAAAATTTTTGAATCTCTCCAATTGGATGAGATTGACACGCCAAGAGAGCAGACTAAAAACCAATCGTCTCACCAACTGTTTTTTGGGATCAATTAAGGGCGTCATCAGGTTAATTAAACCCTAAATGGACATTCGTATAACTAAGAAACATAGTGAAAACATCTCACCGTTGGGTAAGGAAATCTCCCCAGAGCCATCTGTGGTATATAAAAAAAAATTAGATCATCAAAACGGTAGCGCTTATAATGATGATACAAGACTAGAAAAATTCAACACTTTACGTATCAAAGAAACAGACTTCAAGTACTATTTTTTTTACAGTTCAGAAGACATTTCCACGCCAAAATAATTAACATCCTTGCAATTCTCCTGACTTCTGCACAACTGTTCTTTAATAACCATTCAAAATGCAGGACTGGTATAAATTTTTAAAAAGTTGAAACTTCAATCAGTGCACGCAATATTGACAATGGAAAGATGAATATAACTGGTTTGAGTGGCCGTATAAACGGGATATAATGGGAGAGGATTATACAGGTTGGGATTTCAAAATGTGGCCGTTGGCCGCATAAACGGGGTTTTATTATAAGAAACTGTAAGGGCATTTCACCGGGACAAAAAAGACTGGCCGTAATAACAAGCTGACCGTATTAACGAGGTGACCGTAAAGTGGGGTTCCACTGTACATGTATTGAAAGTAATGCTCCCAAAATATATACCATTCTGTTAAGGTGCTTACAGTAAAATAACTTTACTAGTTAATATCAAGTCCATGAAAGAGACTTGTCCACTATAGAACCGATAACAGACTTGTTACCACTTGCTTAACTACTGGTGTTAATAGATTGCTTGCAGTGTTAGAGTTTTGGTCAAGTTTTGATCATTTTGTTTTCAGGTCCTTTCTTATTCGCAATGTCGCCATTATAAGTGTGAAAAATTTTTTTTTCTGTCACCTCTAAAAGAGAGACTCCCAGACTCCACAGCTCTGATCGAATGCTGTATTCATCTCCTAGTATGCGCTCAGGCTGGAAGAAAACGAAACAAGAGAGAACAACAGTAAAAAGTTGATGAGTTGACAAATCTTACTGACAAAGCTCTCTCCAACCCGGGTTATATTAGGCCATCATTTTGGTGAAAACAATAAAAAGTTACCATGAAGTTCATCATCTGTGTTAGGTATCTAACTTAAAAGAGCAGCCCCAAGACTTCCTCATCAGCCGGACTTGTTAGTGACCAATACATTTTTAACATATCAACCTTCCACTGTTTCCTTAAAATTGATCACAGTGACCTATACTTTGTGACCATCTCAACTAGCAAGTTTCCGTTACAATATTTCTTACGGTACAAGTTAGAGAATTTGATCGAAATAATTGCGTAAAGACAACTTCCTCTCGGTAATGATTGCATTCTTCTAACTTGACGTGAAATAAGTTAAGATGCTGATAATTCTAGAGCTTAAAAGCCAGCACAGTTGTCCCTACTACCCAACTAGTATTTCTGTTTCATTTTGACGACAGTTGACGAACTCCAAGCAAATTAGACATTTAAGCGTAAAACTATATAGAAAATAGTAAGTGTTAGAATCTTACCGCCATATATGCGTGAGTTCCAACGTAAGTAGTAGCAATTGAATTGACCAGCTGAATGAGAAGAAAAGAACAATCTAAGAAAATAAATTACAAGTAACGATACATGACCGTATATTCCAAATCAATTCGTCGAATTCTTCTCTGAAAGTATTAATGACACAATTATATATTATATACCTGTCTACTAACACCAAAGTCGCATAATTTCACTTGGCCTCTTGTGCTCACTAGAATGTTGGAAGGTTTCACATCTACAGTAATGGTGTGAAGAGAGAACATGAAGGAAATTACAAGAATGAGCTTAGGAAAACTGATAAAGCTTTGTGCAATAAATGAACAAATGAATTATGCAACTATTGGATCGTGAAGATCATGTCAGCCATGAATCCTTAAGTCTCATTCTGTGGATGACTGTTTGACCTCTGTCCCGTGCAAGTTTATAAGATAGTTCATGGCTTACATAGCCTCGTCCTTTGCAGAACTGCGATGCAATACTTCAAACATTTTCAGTTACAGTGAAACCTCGATATAACGAAGGGCCAAGGGACTGGCAAAATGTGTTCGCTATAACGAAGTTTCGTTGTATCGAAGTTGTTTTCCATATATTTTACTACTAATGAGGTTGAGAAAATCGTTCGTTATATCGAGAACTTCGTAATATAGAGGTTCGTTAAATCGAGGNCAGTTATCATTGGAGCACTTGGAGCTATCAAAAAGGGACTAGAAACTTATCTTGAAGAATTCCCGGCCAAATAAGCATCAGTGAACTACAAAAGATAACCTTGCTAGGTACAGCACACATTTTGAGGAGGGTGCTATGAGGCTAAAAACTGGCTATCTCTTAGTGCCCCAGGACCATGGTCTGGTCTCAGCCCTAAGGACTCTAAGCAAACATTACGTGAGGACGATAATAATAATAATAATAATAACAAAAACAACAACAACAACAACAACAACAGTAATAATATTAATTGTTTTTTGTTGCCTTTAAATTAATCATGATTACTATTATGAATAAAAACCTTTGCCTGGAAACAGCACTTGCGCAAATGTAATTGCACTGTGTCCTGGCCATTGAGGGAAAACAAATGACAATTAACTGACAGTTTCACATACAGTTGATGCATAAACCCAGAAGCAGGCAGATTGTTCCTCAATACTCACACTCAAATGCAGTGGCTGTAGTATGAGGCATCACCTGGGAAATTGCCTCCTGTAAAATAAACAGCCAGGCATAGTCTCATTAACACCAAACAGCACTTACGTACATAATATATGTATGAAAGGTGTCCTCATAACTACATATATGTAATATTTAATATAAAATATGAAGTACATATTATGATTCACCAATTTTCAAAGGGTTGGCATTGGTGGTCTTTGATCCATTTTGTTCCTTTCTTTTATCACGACCCATTGGCTGTCATCACAATGTACATACAGTGTACGATTGGCAGTGATGTAAAACATACATGTACTCACATGATTTAAAGTTCATCACTTGCAATGTTATTGGAAGTGGGGAACGTTCTTAAGCTGCTTAAAAATGAAGCTTATATATTTTTCAGGTTGCTGGTTTATTTTCAAGAGTTTTGTCCTGACTGTGAACAAGGAAATCACTGCCATTTCATTTAACAATATCACTCAAAAACATTGTGTACATTTGTAATTATGTAAGAATACGGTAAACCTTTACCTCGAGAATAAAACGGGTAACAGTCAACTGATACTGACATTTTACATTGCATGAAAAACATTTTACCGCTAATGGAAAAAAGAATTTTAAAAAAGTCTATTGAAGATTTTTCCGGTCCAGATAACCGGTGTTTAACTTGAAATGCTATTAAATTATCTATATACAGAACTGACCCTACATAATAACGATAGGAAGTACTAATTCAACTTTATTCCGCGTCCTTCTTTTACGCCAATATATCTTTAAAACAAGGATTATATGAAGCCTACAAAATTAAGCTTATTAGTTTAAAGTTCATTGATTTAGCAAATTACAGCACGCTCACATTAACATCATCACCAGCGCACATACATACCAGCACATCCCGAAAAACAATATTCTGACGAACAGTCCAATCTACAGCTTCCCCTTCGTCAGGAACAATTCGTATCACCAGAGAAGGTGACAAGGACATATGGCGATCGAATCATTTCACTTCAAGAACTTTCTTCAAAACGCTCGTCCATTTTGCAGAATGTGAAGGGCGTTTTGTTTTTTCTGGAAAGGATGATGGCCGAGAGAGACTAGGTTAAGATTCGCTTCCAGATCCACGCAGTGTTCCGGTCGGTGTGCCGAATATTTGGAATAACAGGATATCTTGGTAAGTTTTATGTCTTTTCCTTACCAAAACGGTATTTCATTTTTTAGTTTCTTGTTCAGTGGAAAATTTGAAGTATATTTGAATCCACCGCGAGAATTTTGCACCCATCAAACTCGCTCATCTTTCACAGAAATCGAGAAATATGTCCGTACTTATGCAATACACGGGCGAGACCTCGCTGCAGTCCGGTGACCGATATGAGATGTTTAATGTTTTCATGTTTAAGAATTTGCAGCTCGGAATATATGTTTCTTGCTTCATCATATTTCGACGTTAACTGTTTCATCCATAAACATGAAACCTTTTGAATTTCGTGTTCCTGCAAATCCCACCTACTGTTTATGGAAAGGTCAACACGCACAGGATACCCAATAGTACACAAGATTCCCAGGCATTACTTACTTCTGTTGTGCTATCATGTTGGTGGACTTGGTTAAGGAATTCCTACAGGAACCACCTCCCAGGGATGTTCTCAGGACAAACTCTGCCCTTCCCAGCAAACTGTGCTTTTTCTTTCTTTGTTAGGGTTCTGTGGCACTTGTGGTCTAAGTTAATAACTATGGGCAAATATCCAGGGGTGTGCCCAGGGGAATGGCAACAGTGTTTGAATAGACCTTTTTACAGAAACAGTGACCATTTTAAATCATACTGTTTCAAATAGCTATGATGGAGTGCTTTGGGGCAAATACATACTAATTTGCCCCCTGAGCGACCCATAATAGCTATTTGAAACAATAGAATTCAAAATGTCCGCCATATCGGTAAAAAGGTCTCTTGGACCATATAGTAGTCTGTTTTTTTTTTCTTGTAAGCTTCACCAGCATGACCATAATTTTGATTCTGTGGTCTGGGTGTATACTATGTCGTCCCAAATGACCTCTTCAAAGTAAAATTTCAATTACCCCTGTTTTTATTAATTCAGCAAAACTGAAAACACCTCAGGTTAAAAATATTTCAGTTTCCCAGCTCACTACTGAGTAACATACAAAAGTACTGTGATTGTATTGCGGTACATGTAGATTTAACTGGTCAGGATTAGCAGAGTGCAAGGAAAGCCACTTTTGCATGAGCTGGAAAACTGACTTTTTTTGACCTAGAATATATTAGTCCATGGTCATTGTTACCAGCCCAGAGAGAATTTTTTCTCAGCTCGATTAATTAATTAAAAATTAATTAAAAATTAATTAAAAATTAAGTGAAAGATAGAATCTAGACTCGTGTGACAGCAAAATCCACTAGCCCTGGGCTGTTGCACGTGGAAGTTGAGTATCGATTGTGCTAATTCATTTTGATTAATAAGAGAGTGAATCAACAGTTAACTCCGGCACTTGGTGGAAAAATACATCTTGGTGGATATTTATCGCTTTTGAGACTCTCAGAAGGAAACAGTTTCTTTGTGACCTTGAGGTAGCCAATGCAAATGTATGCTGTTGAGGAAAAATTCCAGCTTTATATAACAATATTGTCTGTTTGTGTAGCAGATACAAGTGTACATGTAACCATGCCACAAACCTGGGTCATCATTGGTGGGTCAGTCCTACTGCCCAATGTTGGTGGCTTTCTTGGAGGATTTGTCACCAGATCTAACATCAAAGACTGGTTTGACAAAGGTAATTAGTGAATAGTGTAGAATGTTAGCATTATTATTGAAATGACACTTGAGTTGAAGACAGACCTAATATTTAATGTCTCATTTCAGACTTGAAGAAACCCTCCTGGAGGCCACCAAACTGGCTTTTTGGTCCAATGTGGACATGCCTGTACTCAGGAATGGGCTATGCATCATACCTTGTGTGGCGAGATGGTGGAGGGTTTGATGGTGATGCAAAAACTGCCCTAGCATTGTACGGGACAAACCTGGCTTTGAACTGGCTTTGGACTCCTATTTTCTTTGGTTCTCATAAGTTGGGACTGGTAAGAACAGATCGAGATTTCCTTAATCATGACAATGTATTTTGTTACAACTAATATCAGTGCATGTATGCTGTATGCATTTGACAGTGAAGACGCTCAAACTGTGAATGCTTGACATTTGTTTGTACATTTTGTTACCTATTGACTAAAGAATAAAGGCACTTCATATTAACAAGAGTGTTTAGCATGCTGACACTGTGAAAATGCTGTCTTCGATTGGTTTTCTCTTGCAAGTGTCACTGAGGTGGAGGGCGATGAAATCTGGAAGTAAAGGAAATAATTATTATAGTTTGCATGAGAATTTCTCTACTTGCGGGGATTCAAGGGGAAATTAGAAACAAGCAAGTGATGGTTCCATAAGTCAGAGTCACTTGGAAAAACAGAAAGTGACCTACAAAACCCCTTTTAGGTCCTTTGAACAAGGGGATATTGTTAGGTGCCTATGGCAGGACTGGACAGGCAACATAAAAAAATGATTTTAGGATTATCATAATAACTTATTTTGATGCCTTGAGGAATCCCAAATTAAATTTCTCTTGTCATTGTAAGATTCTGATAGCAGTTCTGGTTTTCTTTCATGCACAGGCCTTTGGTGAAATTTGCTTGTTGTGGTTAAACATTGTTGGATGTGTGTACACATTCTTTCCAATTAACAGAGCAGCAGCAGGACTCATGTTGCCCTATCTTGGGTGGGTCACTCTTGCTACAGCTCTAAACTACAGCATCTGGCAAATGAACAAGCCTGCCATAAAAGAAGACTGATGTCTGAAGAAAGCAAAGAAAAACATGGCACCAACCATTCTGCAATGATCACTAGGAGCACTTTGAATCAAAGACTGCCAAAAAATATATATTCTTTAAGTTTCTATATTGTACTCTTTTCATGTTATGTATAGGTTCTTGGTTAAGTCTTTGTGGCAGGTACAATCAGTAATACCTTTGTTTCTCATTATGTTTTATTTTGAATCATTTCTTCCATCTAGCGGTAACAAATTCTCTGGGTAGTGAAACTGATTTTGAAAAACTGATACCAGGACTTGAAAATGCCTGTAAAACTTAAGTTATCTTGCCATGTTTTAAAGAAGCTAGGTAAAAATCTGAATGAAACTACGTATAAAAACACTGCAAGTTGCTACTCTCCAAAACAAACAACTGTAAATCTGATTTTTTTTTTTTTTAAAAAAAAGGTAATATACCTTTAACGAAATATGAAACATACCGTATTAGCCATATTTGTCTTAGTAACCGGGTAGCTATCAATATATTCTGTGTCTTAAAGTTTCCAGGCTTTTTTGTGATTTGCTTATGATGTTATCAAAGAGCTCAGACTTTATTCAACAAATGGTGCCCTATTTGGCTTTCCAATGTTGCCCCAAACAGCCTTTTTAGCTTTCATACATGATATGGGACCTTAAAAAAGTAACCAGGTGGTTAAACAACAAGAGCAAGTGAAATAGTACAGTTAATTGATCTGTAAGTTAAATACAAATAGATATTACAAAATAAGAGATAGTAGAACATTAATTTTTATGTCAGCAGAATCTAGTCAAATAATAATAATAAAAAAGTGGTTTATCAAATATTGTTCCAAAACAGTACCAACAACTATCTTGAAATCAGACATGAAAATTGTAAATCTCCACGTTGATAAAAAGAGAATTCTGATTGATTGTTTGACTGGTCCAGTTGACGCAATGATGGGCCGCTCAGGAATTAGTTTGGACAAATTTTTCAAGACATTGTACAAAAGAGAGCGGATTGTTGATAGGATACCACTATTGTTAGGGGTGGGGGGAGGGGGTAGTCATGGAGACAGTGGGTCTCAAGCTAAGGGTGGGGGGTTATAGGAAGAGGCAGTCATCTCTATAACTTCTGGTGGGTCCTAAGCATGTGTAGTAGTCTTGACCACTCCCTTTAAATAGGTAGAAATCTTTTTCCTTCATTTCTGATGGACAACTCGGTTTAACTTTCAAGCAAGCGACCTGAGAAAAGAATACAAATTGTTAACTTTGTGAATGTCGTTCACCGAGAATGAATTGCGGAGATGCAGTTAAAGAGTTTCCTTGAAGAGATGGAAAGGAGGCCGAGATTTTCAATTCCCATCTGAGGATGAGCTCAAAACGAAAAATGAAGGATGAGAAGATGGTTGAAGGATGAGAAGATGGTTGAAGGATGAGATGGTTGATGATCCTGACATACCGTACATGCATGACTTGTTTTGTTCTCCAGTTGTAATCAACTCTTAGAAAGTGATTATGTAATCAAACCTTGGTGATGGTCAAATTGTCTCAAGCTTGCGCTACTGTAGGACAATTGTAAGGAAATATATTCCCACACCGTTTTCAAGGCCCAAACTATTTGATAGGCCACTTATATATATTAAAATTCAGCTTGATAGTGAGGCCTAAAGGACACAAACAAAAGAAATGAATAAACAAGATCATTCAATTCCCGTTGTTTGTGTCCTCTTAGCCTCATTGCCAAGCTGGATTTTAATACACCAAAAACGGTCTAATCTCTCGGCCCTGAAATTCAAAACGCCTCTAGTATTGCCGTGTTACCCCTAAACTTAAGTCATCTTTGTTGGTATAAGTATATTTTCCTTTTTTAATGATGTATTTCTTTGCTTTTGTGTATTTGCGAGTTTGAGTTTGCGTAACTACTTTTTATCCAAAATTATGATCATTTTGTATGGCGATGACAGCATTTTTAATTCTTTTGTTAAGTCTTAGGTATCTTTAAGGTAGTCCTTTACATAAGCCTTATTGGCCTCCCTGGGCTTCCTTGCCTTATGTATTGATATTTTGTAGATACATTTATAAATGGCAAAAAATAAAACAAGCAAACAAACAATCTTCAAGTCCACGACATAGGGCGTATCCAGGATGCCTTCGCTAACTGCAAGGATTCTAGCACTAGCACCAGGTGCAATTTGACCCAACCACAGAAAATCAGGGCTGTCACGGGTCAGGAAATGGTCCAGGCTCAATTACCAGCTGCTGTTTGGGAAAGGAGCCCGCACTCCTCCCTGAAGTCTCTCTCGGGGAAGAACGTAGACCTGAAATGAGAGAGAGGTGGAAATCAAACCTAGAAATGGCCAGGGGAAAAAAAAGATGTTTAAAAAGTTTTCACTTTCAATCTGGGAAAATTTAAATTTTGAAGAAATACAAGACAAAATAATTTTAAGACACCATTGAAGGCTGGAACAAACATCTCAACAATGTTTTTCGGAAGAAGGAAAATCAGTCTCAATGATTGGGAGGAAGGGATGGGTGTAAGGGGAGGCTAGAAGCCGCTACTATATCTGACAGTTTGTATTTATGTGATAAGGGAATTTTCAAAAAGGTTGCCTATGGCAACCATGTAAAATGTTTCGTTTGCAATGCTTTCGCCCATGTGAGTGTTTACTTACACGACTATCTGCCCGTGGGTCACTGAGGATGAATATACCCAGGTTTGCTTGAAAGCAAGTCATGTTAACCCTTCTCAGACGGTGGGGGAGGGGAGGGTGGAATCTCTAACACAAACATGAAGGGTTTATGATTCGTTACATTTGAAATCTTTCAGCTTGAAGGCGTGGCTCAAATGCATGCTTCCTTCCTCGTCGAACATATTAGTCATGATAGTTTACACTTACGTTTATTTAAGAATAATTTAAATTATCTACATGCATCTCTCAGATAACAATGTTCAATTCAAATATCAGACGAGTCTTTCGACTGCAAAAGAGAGCGGCCAGGGTAATATTGGATGTTAAAACAGCAAGGGATGAACGAACTGTTGACTTATTTAACA